GGGAAAAAAGAGCAAAACCCCGTCTAAAAAAAAAAAAAAAAAAAAAACAGAAAAAAAAAAGAAAAAAGAAAATTTAAAAGTTAGCCTGTTATGGTGATGCATGCCTGTGGTCCCAGGTACTTGGGAACCTGAGGTGGGAGGCTGACCTGAGCCCTGGAGGTCAAGGCCACAGCGAGCTGAAATTGCACCACTACCTTCCAGCCTGCGCAACACAGTGAGACCCTGTCTCAAAAAAAAAAAACAAAAAAAAAAAAAACGTGAAAGAAAAGAAAAAGAAAATAAATATGCTTAGTGTCTGACAGGAACTAAGCAATGTGAGTTTTGTTAAATAAAATAACACCCGCAAAGCTACCAGCAGAAGTGTGGAACATTAGAAGCGCTCAATAAATAAACAGTAGCAGACTTGGAGAAAAGGAGACCCAAGAGGGAGCAGTGACTGGCCCGGGGATACCTGGAAAGTTGTAGCACCTGGAAAGGTGCCTAGGTGGGGCATCTGAGCCTGCAACTCATGCACCTCTGGCAGGTAGGCCTGGTGGCCTGAGGAAGGGGAGCTTCCAGGCTTCATGCCCACAGGGCTTTCTCTCCCGCAGGTTTCGAATCTATTCCAACCAGTCTGCACTGGAGTCACTGGCTGTGAGTGGGGAAGGGTGAGTGGGCTGGGCTGGGGTCAGGGTGGGTAGGTAAAGGCAAGCCCACCCCCCACTCGCTGCCCTGTTTCCCCTCTCCCCTCCCAGCTGATCCCACTACAGGCCCCTCTGAAGACCTTGCTGCAGATTGGTGTGATGCCCATGCTCAATGGTAAGGCTGGGGAGTGAGGACTGAAGAAGGAAGGAGGGCTGAGCTGGGCAGGCCCAGACTGAGCCGGGTGCTCCCACCCACAGAGCGGACCTGGCGTGGGGTGCAGATCCCACTACCTGAGGGCATCGACTTTGTGCGTGAGGTGGTGACGAACCATGCGGTGAGTGGGGGATGGGATGGGGAAAGGAGGGCAGGGCCTTCTAACTCCCCAGTGCCCTCCACTACCTGACCCCAGCTCCTCCCTTACCAGTCCCCAGCTCCCATTTTAATCTTAAGACTCCTTGGAGCACTCTTCTCCTATCCCAATACCTACTAATCTTTCAGGTCTTAGCTCAGAGGTCACCTCCTGCAAGAAGCCCTCCTTGATACCCATAGTCTGTACTCCTAAAGCCTCATTTTAGCACCTTGACATGGAATTATCCATTAGATTGAGCCCCTGAAGGACAAAGACTCTGTCTCTTCATCTTTAAACTCTGGCCTCAGTAACCGAATGAATAAATGAGACTCCCCTCTCTGCCCCCTGCACAGGGCTTCCTCACCATTGGGGCCGATCTCCACTTTGCCAAAGGGCTGCGAGAGGTGATTGAGAAGAACCGGTCTGCTGATGTCAAGGCATCCACTGCCCCCCCACCCTCCACAGCAGCTATCTGAGCCCTTGACCCCCACACTGGCAGCTGTCATTCAGGACTCCAACCCCTCTCAGCCCCTCTTTCCCCACATTCGTATCCTATAGTGGCCCCTCTAACCCCCGGTGCCACAGAGAAGACGGGGTTTGAAACTGTACCCAATTTAATCACATAATCAGTGAATCCATCAATTATAGTCCATCCACCACCTCCCTGTGGGCTGTCCTGAGCTCTGTTGGGTTCGTGGAATGGGATCAGTGCATCATAAAGGGTATTCTTGAAGCAGAGAGGGGGCCAGGCCACCCCATTCAGGAACTACTGTGGGAATGAAGTGCCAACCTGCCCCCAGGCTGTCTACGGGAGTCCCAGAGGCAGAACCTGCCCTGCAGGGGTACTGTGCTTACAAGAGGACTCCCAGCAGGAGAGGCTAGGAGAGGCTAGGAGGAGCTGTGGCAGGCCGTGGGGAAGCTGGTCGCTGTGGTCATCAGTATGGCTGCTTGTTCAGGAATCGGGAGAACATGGTGAAGGCAGCAAGGGGCTTGTCGGTTGGGACCATGTGTCCGGCGCCCTGAGGAGCAACGTTTGTGAGATCCTGACCCCCATTCCCTCCTCCTCATATAACTGCTCACCCGTGGGGGCTTCCTTCATCCCAAGCCCTTTATTCTTCCCAGAACTCTCCCCGCCCCTCTTCAAAAAAAACTTGCCCATACAGGGGCTGGATGATGACCTATGACCCAGCATAAAAGGCAGCCAGAGGGAAAGGACGGGTGGGCCCTGCTCCTTTGCCTCTGGCCCAGTTATCTCTCAGCAGGCTCAGGCCGTACCTTGATAGTGAGAAAGGCAATGTGGGAGAACTCCTTCACGAAGCCGGCAATCTGCTCCCCGCTGTCCCCGTACTTCACTAACCAGGGCCGGCGCTGCACCTCCATCTGCCCCACCAGGAAAGAAATCAGCCTACGGCAGCTGCATCCTTGCTCACAGCTGCCAGCAAGACCTTGGGGTTGGGAACTCCTCCACTTGCCCTCTGAGGACCACAGCCAGGCAGCCAGCTGGCCACTCCCAGACATACCCACCCCCAACTTCCACAGCAGCCCCTATCCCAGGGCCAGGAATCTCTGCCTTACCTTCTGGTTGAGGGAATCCACAAACCACTCATCCCCCATGAAATTGCAGGCCATGTCTACATCTCCATTATATAACAGGATCTGGTATTTCTAAAGCAGGACGGGGTAAAAATGAGGGGTGGAAGAAGCCCAGGCCCCAGCCCTTCCCTAGTTCGAGGTCTACCCCTCAGGGAATTCAAGGAGATGAGCTAGACAGCACGAACCAGGGAATTCTCATATTTTCTGATGACTTACTGCATATCCAGTGTTCTGCTAAATGTTTTACCTTTGAAGGTAGGTATCATTATCCCCATTTTACAGATGGGCAACCTGAGGTTCATGATATTTAAGAAATTTGCCCAAGATTATGTGGCTAGTAAGGGACTCACACCCAGGCCACGTGACTCCAGAGCCCATGCTGTTAACCACTGTGCTGGACAGAACCTACTCCTAACTTGGCCCTGCCAGTGCCTCCTACATGAACTTGGACAAGGTCTCCTCCCACCCTGGACCTCTGTTGGCCTGTTTTTGGCATGAATTAAGCTCCTCTCACCCTTAAGGCTCTTTGGCTGGTGCAGACCTTCTACAGCAGGGTGGCACGGGTGGGGACAAACCCAGGGTCAAATCCTGACTCCACAAATCACAAGACCCTGGGCTTTGCCTTTTAGAGTTTCAGCTTCTTCCATCCTGACGGGAAGTTTAAAGGGGCACCCAGCTTGCTGTGCTACTCTGGGGTCCTAAGGCTGCTGGTGGATCCAGCTGTGCCGTCCCCACTCACCTGTGAGCTAAGCAGCTTCAGATACTGGGAGTTCATGCTTCGGTAGAGACGGCGGTACTGTAGGTTTACCAGGAAGCTGCCAGGAACACATAAGCAGGCCCCAGCAACACCAGGTAGGGGCAAAAAGTAGTCAACAGATCAAATCTTCTCTCCTATCTCCAAGTTTCAACCCAGGAGAGAGACAGCCGGGTTCCACTCCCCTTTTTGGGGGGGGTCACCCTCTCTAGGACTGACCTGGATGATGGGCTGGGATTCGGAGAGCCTCAACTCACCCCCATTTAGAAATGTACAGGGACATGTTCCGGTTGTTATGAGGACTGGGATGTAACTGGCATTTAGTGTCTAGGGGCCAGCAGGTGTGAGAGTCACAGCATGTAACAGGGGAGAGTGTGGCCACTGAACAATCAAAATGGACCTGAGCAGCCCCTGCTGGGCCCAGTGTCACCCTTTTACCTGTTGGGGATCACAGGAGATTGGACATGGAAGTAATAGTTTGACGTTGTTGTTTTTTGAGACAGAGTTTCGCTCTTGTTGCCCAGGCTGGAGTGCAGTGGCACGATCTCGGCTCACTGCAACCTCCACCTCCCAGGTTCAAGAAATTCTCCTGCCTCAGCCTCCTGAATAGCTGGCGTTACAGGCAGCCACCACCACACCCGGCTAATTTTTGTATTTTTAGTAGAGACGGGGGTTTCACCATGTTGGTTAGGCTGGTCTTGAACTCCTGACCTCAGGTGATCTGCCTGCCTCAGCCCCCTAAAGTGCTGGGATTACAGGTGTGCGAAACTGCACCCAGCTGGAAGTAATATTGTTAATGACCAATGTGATGGCCAGGTGTGGGGACTCATGCCCGTAATCCAGCACTTTGGGAAGCCAAGGAGAGAGATTGCTTGAGACAGAAGATCCCTGGGAACGTCCCGACACCCTCAAGCCCCAGCAACCTGCCACCCCAAGTCACAGGTGGCCATGGAACCTCACTTGCACATGTCCCACTGGGGCAGCTGCTCCGGGATGTGGAGGGCCTTCCGCACATACGGGTTGTTGAGGTAGGTGGACGCAGCTGTGGTGTTGGTGCAGGGGGGGTCCATGCGCACTTTATTCCCCGAACGAAGCAGTGCCTGGAGGGCACCAACAGAGGGTCAGAGCCTCTGCTTCCCTGCCTCTCCCCCCGCCCTCACTTCACCAGGAGGAAGTCCATGCCCTTGCACACCTGATGCCACGTCCGCTTGATTGGCAGGAGAGTGAAGATGTTGCCCAAATCCTGGACCACAACAGTGTCCTTCTCATACCTGCATGTGAGGTGGGGGGATGAGTTTGGAGCCTCCAGATGGGGTTGGGGTGGGCCCCAGAGGCACCTGGCAGCACCTACCTAAAATGGCTGGGCACCCCTCCAGCACACGGGGCATAGAGGTTGTAGATGTTGAGGCCGGAGTTGCCCACGATGCGGGACACTTCCTGAAGCTGCAATACACACCAAGCCACCATGCTTTCCAGATCCCCAGTCCCTCCACAACCCACCAAGTTGTCCCAAGATGTATTGCTCTTGTATTTCACCTCTTAACCCGTCACCCACTTTTTTCACAGGTAGGGAAACTGAGGCTCAGTGGCAGGAATCTTCCCAGACCTGGGTCCAAATCCTAGTGTCACTGTCTCCTAACACTGTGACTTCAGTGATTTCAAATTCATGGCCCTCAGTTTCATGTGGGTAGTATGATGTATGTGGGTAGTATAATCTACACAGACACAGTTGAGCACAATGCCTGTCACGGTGCAGGTGTTCCATAAATGTGAAGGAGTCCTATCTCCCTCACGGAGGTTATGGGATTTGCCACCATAGGAGGTGCGGGCGGTGGGAATACACACTTAGACACGTGTCCAAGAGAACACTAAATTGCTTAAAGGTGCAAGATAAGGAAGCAATGAGGGATGGAGAACAAGGAGTTCCCAAGGAGGGAATGTGGTCCTGTTCTCAGGATTAGGGATGGCGGTGCTGATGCAAAGTGACGGCAGACCCTCACATTGGTCACGCATTCCGGGTCTTTGTTGTCATAGAAGTTACACTTGTTTTGAGAGCAGCAGTGGGTCTGGAGAGAAGACCAGAGCCTGTTGGAGATGAGAGGAAAAGTACATCAGCCTCTGGTGGGAAGAGGAAGGTAGAGGAGGCGAGCATACCCCCACCTCCCACCAACCTCCCTGACCCTAGAGTACTAGGAAAGATATCACGGGGTGTGGTCTGTACATCACCTAAGCTAGCTCCCAAAGAGGTGCCCCAGGATCATACAAACAGGCCTCCTTAGTTCCTTTAAAATCTGATCTCTGGCTGGGCACTGTGGCTCATGCCTGTAATCCCAGCACTTTGGGAAGCCAAGGTGGGCAGATCACTTGAGACCAGGAGTTCGAGTCCAGCCTGGCCAACATGGCAAAACCCCATCTCTACTAAAAATACAAAAAATTAGGCAGGCGTGGCGGTGCGAGCAGTGGTAGTCCCAGCTGCTTAGGGAGGCTGAGGCACGAGAATCACTTGAACCTGGGAGGTGTAGATTTCAGTGAGCCAAGATTGTGCCACTGCACTCCAGCCTGGGTGACAGAGTGAGACTCTGTCTCAAAAAAAAAAAAAAAAAAAAAAAAAGAAAATGTGATCTCTGTTCTTTGTTCTTTCGGCGCTAAGTTCTTTCTGCAACCCACCTGCCCAACCTGGGATGGGCCTGGCATATCATGTGCTTGGAGGACAGACCCAAGATCATGTAACCTGCCCCACCCTAGAGATTGCCCAACTGCCCTATCCCATACCTGTTCCCCAGAAGGCCGTGGTAATAGGCAAAGTAGACCAGGGAGTTGTCATTCTGCTCATAGGAGGAGAGTCCATTGCCCACAGCCAGCCCCTGTGAAACACCCAGGATGCTCAGCTCAGGTGGAGGACGAGGAGGAGGAGCCTCCCTCACCTAACACCCAGACCTGCAGCAATCCGGAAGCTGAAACCCAGGATGGTTTGTAGGGGCGGGTGGGTGTGGGAGGCCACTCAATGCAAAGGACAGAGCTGGCAGCCTGACAGGTGAGTTTCCTATGGGAGGCACACAGACAGACCTAGGGCAGCCGCGGCAGGGAGATTATGCAGGAAACTGGATTCGATGGGGATGCTGACCACTCTGACCTTCCTAACTGCAAGGCCACGGTCACAAGGTGCCTCCCTTCCCTCCTGCAGCTGCCCTGCACCTGAAGGTTCATGCTGGGGTCCTGCATGACCAGCACGGCCAGGGTGGGGATGTAGATGCCAGCATAGCTCTCTCCGGTCAGGAAAAGTTTGTTGTTCTTGTACTCCGGAAAGAGGCGGAAGAAATCTTGAAGGGCCTCAAAATTGCTCTGGGCGACCTGGGGATGGGAAAGCAAGACAGAGGGTAATCAGGAAGCTTTGGTATTTGGACTGGAAAGAGCCTCAGCGACAATGACATCAATCCACCCTGTTTGTGTAAGGGGAAGTGACTTGGCCACTATACCACAATGGCATAGGATAGAGCTAAAAGGGGACTCCAAGACCATGCTCTTTCTCCCAGCATTGGGCCATGTATGGAGGACTGGGGAGCCTGGGGCAGATGGGCAGGCACAGGACTCACCTCAGTGTCATTGGTCACATAAAGTTTGTCATCAGAGTAGGAGAAGCCCACCCCAGCTGGGGACTCCAGGTATAACACATTGGCAATCTAGAGGGGAGGGAAAAATGAGCTAACCGCCACCCCATCCAAGTGCCTAGACACCCCCACAGGACCCACAGCTCCAGCTATACCAGGTTCCAAGAATAGGGGTTGTACTCCAGGGTGACACCATCTGGCTGGATCTGAGGAGGAAGAGATGGTTGGGTAAGTCCCATGGTGGAGGGAAAGGGACACTATGAGAGGCACTTTACATGTGGGCAAAACCCCTCAGAGGTACAGGCAGCAAAGCCAAAGGCACAGAGGAAAATCCCGATGCTCAGGAGCAAGGAAAACTTTTTGGAAAATCACAAAGTCCCTTCCTCCCTTTCCCCAGCCTTTTGCTTTGGGAACTGTGCTTTCCTGCTGCTGTCCACTCACCAGGAAGGGGCCATGCTCTGTGAGGAGCCCATCTAGGGAGCTGCAGCCGGGACCCCCATTGAGCCAAAGCACCACAGGGCTGTTCTCGGGATCCTTCTGGGACTCCACAAACCTGGGAGGGGTGTCAGGGCAGAATTGGCGCAGGTGGAGGGGGCCCTTTCCAGCCCTTCGGGCTCCCAGGCATCTTCAGGGGTCTGCGGAACTACCCCCCACCCCTCCTCCATCATCTCTCCTCCCAATCCCGCCTAGAGACAGGGCAGCAGACCAGTAGTGGAGGTGCTTGGAGCCAGAGCCTTTGAGGTAGCCGGAGAACTGGCGGAAAGATGGCTGTTTGGACAGCCCGGGTAGGCACTGGATCTCGTCCTGGTCGGGGGCTGCCTTGCCTAGGGGCGCCCAAGACACGAGCAGCAGCAGCAGGTACAGCGGCGGCGGCGAGGCTCGGATCATCTGCGGGAGGCAGCAGAGGGGCTGCGGACTCGCTCCTCAGCGCTTCTGCGCAGCAGTCCCCGGGAAGGAGCTGGCGGCGCCTCCGCGGGGGAAGCCCCGGCTCCAGCGCCAGCTCCCACCCGCGAGCCTCCTCCGCCGCGCACAGATCCCGGGCTCGGGGAACCCCTCCAGCCTCCGGTGCTAGCTCACCTCTGCTCCCCCGCGTCCTTCCTCTTCTGGAGGCGCTCGGGGACTGGGAGTCATGTGTACTCCGAGTCACGTGAGCTCCGGCGCCACGTGACAACCTTCCTCCCGCCCCAGTGCCTACGGTCCTGTGGGGCGGTGGCGGTCAATGCCGGGTCAAGGTCTGCGGGCCTCGCGGGTCGTAGCCCGGGCGCACGCGATCAGATGATCCTGGTGTGGATGGCCAAGTTCTAAGCGGGATGGCTGAGCGAGCGGCGCTAGGACCCCCGGGCAGAAGCTCGGGGAAGGCAGCCCCGGGGGAAATGCCTTACAAGGTTCACTTGTTGTCACCATCCGAGCCCAGCGCTCAAAATAGCCCCGGGCGCCCGCTGGCCTGCCTCGTGGCTGGGAGATGGCTGCCGCCTCCGAGCCCGTGGATTCGGGTGCATTCTGGGGACCGGTGCGCCCGGAGCCCCCTCCCACCCGCTTCCATCGGGTGCACGGTGCCAACATCCGCGTGGACCCCTCTGGGACGCGGGCCACACGCGTGGAGAGCTTCGCCCACGGCGTGTGTTTCAGCCGCGAGCCGCTGGCCCCGGGACAGGTCTTCCTGGTCGAGATCGAAGAGAAAGAGCTGGGCTGGTGCGGACATCTGCGTCTCGGCCTGACTGCGCTGGACCCCGCCAGTCTGGCCGCAGTGCCCGAGTTTTCTCTTCCCGACCTGGTTAACCTGGGCCACACCTGGGTCTTCGCCATCACGCGCCACCACAACCGCGTGCCCCGGGAGGACAGCCAGGAGGCGGTGGCGGAGGCAGCGGCCCCCAGCCGACCTCCCGCCCTCGTGGTGGAACCATATCTGTGCATTGAGCAGTTTCGCATTCCCCGGGACCGCCTGGTGGGCCGGAGCCGGCCAGGGCTCTACAGCCACCTCTTGGACCAGCTCTATGAGCTGAACGTGCTGCCTCCGACCGCGCGCCGTAGTCGCCTGGGCGTCCTCTTCTGCCCGCGCCCGGATGGCACGGCCGACATGCACATCGTCATCAACGGCGAGGACATGGGCCCGAGCGCCCGGGGGCTGCCAGCTGCGCAGCCCCTCTACGCGGTGGTGGACGTGTTTGCTTCCACCAAGAGCGTGCGCCTTGTCCAGCTCGAGTATGGCTGTAGGTATCCCTGGGCAGCGACCCCTCCTGGCTCAGTGTGGAGACAGGAATCTCCTATGGCTCCCTAGCCAACTTGCTAGGCCTTGGTCTGTCCCGCACTAGTTTAAGAGGGGGAGAATCGGCCAGGCGCGGTGGCTCAAGCCTGTAATTCCAACACGTTGGGAGGCCGAGGCGGGCAGATCACCTGAGGTCAGGAGCTCAAGACCAGCTTTGCCAACATGGTGAAACCCTGTTTCTATTAAATATACAAAAATTAGTGAGGCATGGTGGCAGGCACCTGTACGGGAGGCTGAAGTAGAAGAATCGATTGAACCCTTGAAGTAGGCAGAGGTTGCAGTGAGCCTAGATCACACCACTGCACTCCAGCCTGGGCAGCAGAGCAAGGCTCCGTCTCAAAAAAAAAAAAAAAAAAAAAAAAAGAGTGGGAGAATCTAGCTTCAAGTTGCACTTCTACTCGTGCTCTTGCACAAGCCTCTACCTGGCTTTGGGCCTTGGTACCCATCTTGGCTGATTAAGATGCCCTACAAGTTCTCTTTTAGTTTTGACAGTATTACCTGTATTCACCTAGGGCAGGGATTCTAAACCGATTTTAGATATTAGGGGCCTCTTTGAGAATTGTTTGCCCTTTTCTTCCTAACATGTTTGGCCGAGCATGGTGGCACACACCTGTAATCCCAGCACTTTGAGAGGCTGAGGCAGGAGAATGCTTGAACCTTGAGGTGGAAGTTGCAGTAAGTCGGGATCTCACCAGTGATCACTTGAGGCCAGGAGTTCGAGATCAGCCTGGCCAACATGGTGAAACCCCCTTCTCTACTAAAAATACAAACATTAGCTGGGCTTGGTGATGTGCATCTGTAATCCCAGCACTTTGGGAGGCTGAGGCAGGAGAATCACTTGAACCTGGAGGTGGAGGTTACAGTGAGCCAGGATCTCACCAGTGCATTCCAGCCTAGGCAACAGAGCGAGACTGTCTCAAAAAAGAAAGAAAGAAACATGATCAAGGCTGGGCAACAAAGTGAGACCCCCATCTCTACAAAAAATTAAATAATTATCTGGGCATGGTGGCACATGCCTGTAGTCCCAGCTATTTGGGAGGCTAAGGCAGGAGAATCGCTTGAGCCCAAGAATTGAAAACTGCAGTGAGCTATGACCACTGTACTTCAGCCTGGGTAACAGAGCAAGACCCTCTCTCTCTTTTTTTTTTTTTGGTCTGAGATGGAGTCTTGCTCTGTCACCCAGGCTGGAGTGCAGTAGTTGTGCAATCTTAGCTCACTGCAACCTCCACTTCCTGAGTTCAAGCAATTCTCCTGACTCAGCCTCCCGAGTAGCTGAGATTACAGGCATGTATCACCATGCCCGGCTAATTTTTACATTCTTAGTAGAGACAGGGTTTCACCATGTTGACCAGGCTGGTCTTGAACTCTTGACCTCGTGACCTGCCTGCCTCGGCCTCTCAAAGTGCTGGGATTACAGTCGTGAGCCACCGCACCCAGGCCAACCCTCCCTCTTTAAAAAAAAAAGAAAGAAACATGCTCATAGACGTGGGCATATTGGCTTAAAGGCATCACAAAGCCCAGACTGATAGCTTCTTAATGCTGAGGTATGGTTCACTGTAGCCCTGGTAAGAATTTTAGTTATACCTCTGATCACATTTCATGAATTCAATGAACCAGAACGCTCTCTGTGCCAGGCCTGTGCTGGAGGCTGCAGTTGCACAGGCAAATCAGACACTATCCCTGTCCCCAGAAGCTGCTAAGTGAACCGGGAAGGGATTGTGCTAAGTGCTATGGTATACACAGGAGTGCAGCACTGTGATAGCTCTTGGGAAGACGTGCTTCTCTCAGCCCCATGAAGCAGGCTGGGCCCAGAGAGCAGTAAGGACTTGCCGACATTTAATGGCAAAGTGGGGACCAAGACCTAGATCTTGTGTCTTGGCCTCAGACCCACCTTCCAGTTCAGTTTGCCTTTCACAGCCTTCTTCCCACAGTGCCGTCCCTGCAGACTCTGTGCCGCCTAGTGATACAGCGGAGCCTGGTGCACCGGCTAGCCATTGATGGGCTCCACCTGCCCAAAAAACTTAAGGATTTCTGCAAATATGAGTGAAGACCTGCAGCGCACTGGAGCAGGACTGCATCCGGGGGCCCCAGACCTGTGGCTGGCTGGTCTGAAGTTGGCCACACTGCTGCCAGGCAGGACCAGAAATAAACAGCTGATGCTGACATCTTGATCACTGGAAGGTCTCTTTGCCCCTACAGCCTATGAGAGGCACTTCTTTTAGAATCACTGCAGGTCAGAGCAAGGGAGCATTTTAGATACCATCTAGACCAGGGGTCCCTGGGATGGCTGCTTGTTAGAGTCATCTTGGGATACGTAAAGAGTGCTGATGTCCCACACCCCGTCTCTAGGGATTCGTATTTTATTTGTTGGGAAATTAGGCCGAGACATTGCTTTTTGTAAAAGCTTCTCAAGATCTCCTAATGTATAGCCAGGGCTGAGAAGCATGTTCCTGGAGTAGCAGTTCCAACTTTGTCATGTATTATAATCACTTGAGGAACTTTGACAAATACCAATACCTGGCCTGTAATCCCAGCACTTTGGGAGGCCTAGGTGGGTGTATCACTTGAGGTCAGTAGTTTGAGACCAGCCTGGCCAACATGGTGAAACCCTGTCTCTACTAAAAATACAAAAGTTAGCCAGGCATGGTAGCAGGTGCCTGTAGTTGCAGCTTCTCAGGAGGCTGAGGCAGGAGAATCACATATGAACCCAGGAGGCGGAGGTTGCAGTGAACTGAGGTCTTGCCACTGTCCTCCAGCATTCCAGCCTAGGCAACAGAGTGAGACTCTATCTCAAAAAAAGAAAAAGAAAAATACCAATATCTGGATCTGACCGCAGGTCTCACGCTACAAGCCTCCTGTATTTCCATCTCTGGTCATTTGCTTTCATACAAATTCTCTCATTTCATCCTCAAAACTCCTAATGAGGTAGTGGCAGTCATCAGACCCACTTTACAGATGAGAATATCAAGGAACAAAACTATCTAGGTGACTTGTCCAAGGGTAAGGGCAAGAACCTAGAACACCCAGCTCCTGGTCCGGTACCCTTTTAACCTTATTCTATTGTGATACTCAGGTTCTAGAATGAACAGGTCAATGCTGTAAGGTGGGTTCCAAGTGTAACAGGGAGGGTCTATGAGGTGATATTCTAGAAGGGTGAAGAAGGGAGTACAGGAGGCAGATCACTATTCCCTCACAAACAGGGGCTTTGGGGCAGCCATGTCCTACTTCAGGACTCCACAAACTCATCCAGGTCCTCTGTCTTCTGGCCAAGGTGAGTGGGGGGCACCTGTGATTGGAGGGAGTGCTGTAGCTTCTCCTGAGAAGTTGCTTTCTGGCTCTAGGGAGGTGGCGGTTCCACTGGGCATTTGGGGGCTGGCCCTAGAATCAGTTCTTTTAGAAGAAAAGCCATTCTAAACGTGCTTGCCAATCAATAACTACCTGCTTGCTCAGTATTCGTTCAGCAAACACTTGCCATCACCTACTCTGTGCTGGGGACTAGGAGTGTGGGTATGAGTAATACCTAGTTCCCAGCCTCTAGACGGTCTGCTGGGGCTGGTCTTAGTTATGCCCCCAAACTCTGCTCTTATGCACTGCCCCTCAGGGCCCCCTCCTCAAAGAGACGGAGAATAACTTTACATTTCATTCCTGTCTCTGCAGGTGGGGCTGCTTCTCCAGGCTTGTCCCTTGGCCTCTGTAGTCCTGTAGAGCCAGCAGTGGTGGCCTCTGGTGGAACAGGCCCAGCAAGCCAGAAAACCGAGCAGGTGGCACCTACTGCCCAGGCCTGGGGCCCAGCCTTGGCAATGCCACAAGCCAGGGGCTGCCCTGGGGGGATTAGCTGGGAGACACTACGGAGGAAGGAATACAGCCAATACTGCCACAAATTCCCGCACACGAGACAACTGGAGAGCTTGGGCTGGGAGAATGGCTACTCCAGAAGCAGAGCCCCCGACTTGGGTGGCCCCAGCAGGCCTGGGCCCCTGCTGCTGTGTGGGTTGTCACCAGGGGTTCTGCCAGTACCCTCTGAGGCAATGGGGAAGGAGGCCAGCTCCCAGCCAGACATCTGCATCCTCACCCTTGCTATGATGATCGCCGGCATCCCCACCGTGCCTGTCCCAGGCGTGCGGGAAGAGGACCTGATTTGGGCCGCTCAAGCTTTCATGATGGCCCACCCAGAGCCAGAGGGTGCTGGGGAGGGGGGGCAGTGGGAGCAGGTGCATGCCCACACAGCCTCTGGGAAGGTACCCCTATTGAGATCCAAGAGGGGCCAGCCTCCTGGCTCCTGCTTGTAGCTGGATGAAATAGCACCAGATATGTAGGGTGGCTTCTCTGTATGGTTCTTGGGGAGACAGGCTTGGGAGAAGAGCCTATGGCAGGGATGGGGATAGAGCAGGTGGTTCAGCCATTCTGACAAATTCCAGTCCTTCATTAGGGACTTCCACACCCTAGAAAGTATCTCTAGTTACCACTAAGATAGGAGATAGGTTTTGTCAGGTAGATACAATTGAAATTACCTGAGATAGGGGCCCCTGCTTGGAGAGTTGAGGCTGCTTTTATGTTGTTTTGAAGACTTGATCAGAATTTTTTTTTTTTTTTTTGAGACAGGGTCTTACTCTGTCACCCAGGCTGGAGTGCAGTGGCACGATCACAGCTTACTGCAGCCTCAACCTCCTGGGCTCAAGTGATCTTCCCACCTCTTCAGCCTTTCTGAGTAGCTGGGATTACAGGCATGTGCCACATCCAGCTAATTTTTGTGTTTTTTATAGAGAAGGGGTTTTGCCACGTTGCCAGGACGCTCCGATCTGCCTCCTTTGGCCTTCCAAGGTGTTGGGATTACAAGCGTGACCCACCATGCCTGGCCTGCCCAGAATTTCATATTAAGTCCTAGGTATGTGAATTCTTCTCTTGCCTTAAATTTCCCAGCATGTTGAAGGCAGGTCATAGGACCATAGGCAAGGAAAGAAAATGAATACTTAATTGAGTACCCACTAGGTACGCCTGCTCTGTAAACTTACCCTGTGAAGATCCCAGATCCCATTTTTATAGATAATCAAGTTGAGGTTTAGAGAGGTGACTTGCCCTAATAAGTCTCATAGCTAGTAAAAGGCAGAACCAGGCACAAAAAACAAGCAGGGAAGGAACCAACCAGGATTCACATGTTGTATAACACTCTATAGTCTATTCTTTCCATAATATACCCTAAACTATGTGCTATGAAAAAAGAAAAACTAGACAGGTAGGCTGGGCACAGTGGTTTGAGCCTATAATCCCAGCACTTTGGGAGGCCGAGGCGGGTGGATCACAAGGTCAAGAGATCGAGACCATCCTGGTCAACAAGGTGAAACCCCGTCTCTACTAAAAATACAAAAGTTAGCTGGGCATGGTAGCATGCATCTGTAGTCCCAGCTACTTGGGAGGCTGAGGCAGGAGAATTGCTTGAACCCAGGAGGCGGAGGCTGCGGTGAGCCGAGATCGCGCCATTGCACTCCGGCCTGGGTAATAAGAGTGAAACTCCGTCTCAAAAAAAAAAAAAAAAAAAACTAGACAAGTACTAGAATATGCAACATTCAGTTTTATTGACCCCAGGATGGGACAAGGAAAAAAGTTCAGGGAGCCTGGCTGAGCCAGCTCCCCAGAGGGGCCTCTTTCCCTGTAGGAAGCCTCCCAGCCCAGCTCACTCAAAGGAGATGGGTCAGGTTAGTCATCTCATGACCTGGGACAACTGCTACCAAGCCCCAACCCTCAACCTCACCACCTGATGTCTTATCTCTAATCTTAGACCAGGGGATTGCCTGTTTATTTTCTTTTTTTTTTTAGACTGAGTCTCACCCTCCCAGACTGGAGTGTAATGGCAACAGAATCCTGGCTCACTGCAACCTCTGCCTTCCAGGTTCAAGCAATTCTCCTGCCTCAGCCTCCTGGGTAGCTGAGATTACAGGCGCCCACCACCATGCCTGGCTAATTTTAGTATTTTTAGGAGAGACGGGGTTTCACCATGTTGGCCAGGATGGTCTTGAACTCCTGACCTCAAATGATCTGCCCACTTCGGCCTCCAAAAGTGCTGGGATTACGGGCATGTGCCACCACGCCCAGCCAGCTTGCCAGTTTTTGTAAGACCTTTGAGCTAAGAATGTTTTTCCTTATGAAAATGTTAAAACCAAGAATATACATCAGAGACTGTATGTGGCCAACAGAGTAAACTATTTAGTATCGGGCCCTTTACAGATAAGATTTGCTGACTCCCGTCTCATGGAGCTAGACACATGCTATGTAGCAGGCCATGGTAGATGAGAAGACCCTTGAACCTTATCCTTATTCTGGAAGGAGGGACCACGGAAGTACAACAGTGTAACTATGTGTGTATGTGTGTATAGGGGCAGATGTGAGTGTGCACAGGTGCACGAGCATCTCTGGGGACTGAGAATAATCAGAGTTGGACCTGCTCATAAGGTCCAATCCAGCTGTCAGCCAGTTCCCGCAGAGTGTTGTACCTCCGCTCAAACTCCTCCTTGCTGCAGTGCTGCAACAGCTGACCCACCTCCTCAGTGAGATGAGTCACTGCCAGGTGCTTATCCAAGGTCTCACTCCACTTGCTGCCCAGGATGCTGTCTAGACTGGTGGCACAGCCTGCCGTCCACTGAGCTGGCAGCATGTCGGGCTGGAGCACCTGGTGGCGGGCACTGAGCATGGCTAGGATGTGGCGGCAGGGAAGGTGGAAGGCCTGGTTAAAGTAGCAGCTGCAGCTTGCAGGGGGCTGGGGCTGTACCTTGTGGGTGTCTTCCAGGATCTGTATGTTCATCTTTTCTGAGCCAGAGCCAATGAGGTGTGTGGATTTCTGGACCACGGCAAGCTCACCCAGGCAGAGCTGGGCTGCTGGCCCTGTGCAGATGGCATTAAGGGAGTGCTGGATGTGGGATTCTACCAGCTGCTCCACTTTGGGGCTTTCAGGGATGGTATCTGAGGGGGCATGATTGTTCTGGGCACACAGTCCCGGGTTGAAGTTTGCCTTGTCTGCAGAGTTCTGCTGCATGTAATGGAACAGAGAAGCCATACCTTGTTTCTCAGATGGGGTGGTGCCAAAGAACTGGCTGAGGATGCGGGTGGTGACCTCGAGGCTCTGGAAGTAGCGGCTGCTCTCAGCTCGGCTTCTCCAGCGGTGAGCCAGCCAGATGCGGTCATTGAGCAGCCAGTGTGGGTGGAGCTCAGGCAGCTTGGCTGGGGGGATGCAGTTGCTCAGGAGTGTATACAACTTTCTCAGGTTGCTTGCTGTAGCTGAGCACATTGTGCTCTGCAGGGAGGTCAGGAGCAGCTTTTCCACGGGCCGTTCAAGGGACAGCTGATAGAACTTGCCCTGGAGGAACTTACAAATGTGGAAGGCTGAGAGCAGGACCTCAGCTGCGGGGAACTCCATGGCTAGAGTGGGCAGTGGAAGGAAATGAGGATCCACCAGGATGGTACAGACTCTCTCCCATGCTGGGTTAAACTTCTTGAATACCTGGAATATCTGGGCCAGGCCTTCAGTGTCCTCCTTGGCAGGGATGGCAAAGTAGACTGCTCGGGCAAGATGACCCTCCAGCTGCACCCGAGGTCCGTCCACCAGGAAGGTATATAAGACCTTACCCCTTGGGTTATAGGTCCGGTGGATAAATAAGATCTCAGGGAAATGGTCAAAGACACTCTGCATAAAGCAGCTCTGGTAGTTGAAAGTATCTAACTGGGCAGTCTTGCTAACCTGGTGCAGCAGCATCGGTGGGCTTGAGTCCTTAATCAGGAGCCCATTCAGCATTGTTAGGGCCATGGGGGGATGGGAGATGTCCAAATGCCAAGGTCAAAATACCTTCTCTGCAGGGCAGCTGTCCATAAGGCTTTGAGTCTCTCAAGCTCCAAGTAAGTTGAGCCTTGAGGCTAGACAATTGTTCCCAGATCTTTTTCCAAAGATGGGCCTATGGAAAGGAACAGAGGTTTAAGGAGACAACAGGAACTTGGTTCTTTGGTTATTCATCCAGACAATATTTGCTGAACATTTACTATGTGTCAGTACTGTTCTAGGGGGAGATACACAATAAACACATACATAAGCAAAGATATATCCAATAATGAAGGTTACAAAGACCACAAGTCTGAGTAACATGTGGGAGAGTAAACAGGGAAGGGAGGAATACTTTAAGGTGGTAAGGGAAAGCCTCTCAGGGGAGAAGGATGATATTGGAGCTGAGACCTAAATGATAGGAAGTTAGCTATGGAAAGATATGGATCCAGGGGATTTAAATAGTATGGCCAGAACTGCATAAGGCCTTCAAAAAAAAATAGCATTCCAGCCGGGCACAGTGGCTCATGTCTGTAATACCAGTACTCTGGGAGGCAGAGGCGGGAGGATCACTTGAGGTCGGTCAGGAGTTTGAGACTAGCCTGATCAATATGGTGAAACCCCATCTCTACTAAAAATACAAAAAAAGAAAAAAAAAATTAGCTGGGCGTGGTGGCTCATGCCTGTAGTCCCAGCTACTTAGGAGGCTGAGGCAGGAGACTCGCTTGAACTCAGGAGGTGGAGGTTGCAGTGAGCTGAGATTATGCCACTGCACTCCAGCTCTAGGTGACAGCGAAACTCCATCTCAAACAAACAACATAAAAATATTATGTTACATTTATAAGTGATTGGCATCCATTCTTTCCTTTGGTCCTGGTATATATAAGAGAACTGCAATTGTTCCAAACTTGCTGGGTGATCTTGGGCAAGTCAGTGACCCTCTCTGAGCCTCAATCCCTTCCACCATAGAATGGGGCTAACAAATGTGCATAGCTTCTCGGCCTCTACTATATCCCTCTTTTAGCAGCAATGCTCTGTTCCAATGTTTTCTCTATTTGGCCCCAGACCGAGTTACTGTCCTCATTTTACAGATGATAAACTAAGGCTCAAAGAAGCTAAGTGACTTGCCCACCATTACTCTGTAAGTAGCTGAAAGTTGAGTCTTTGGTTTGGGATCCTGACCGCTGCCCACAGTACCTGGGTTCCAAAAACCAAGAGAGGGAATACGGCCTTTGACCTCTCACCTCTAACCAGGGTGGGAGATGTGGATGTCTGACGTTCCCAGAGTCCGGCTGAAGCCGGATATGACAACCTTCCATCCACCCCTTTTGGAGTTGTGTGACGGCTGACCGCAGAGATCCGCTGTCTCACACTCACACCCCTTCAGGAATCACTCACCCACAGCCTAGCTCCGTCGCCATTTCTCCCTATTTGACCCTGCCTCCGACTCTGACTGACCTCCAAACTCACCAACCACGGCATCAGCATCGCAGTGACTCGGGCCAATGCCTGAGGAATTTGCTTTCAGGCTTTAGTGCTATGGACCAATCGTAGCTTGACGATTCGTGGGCGGGCTGTATTGCCAGGGTTACGAGGGGCTCGGCTGGCGGTAACCAATGAGAGCCTAATGATACTTGCATCTGGGAGAGCTGATCTTTGAGGCCGGAGTTCTGCAGCCTCTCTACTGGCTAGATGACTGGAAGGGCATGTTACTATGGAAACTCCCTCAAAGGCAGAAAATGAAAAGGAAAATAAATAGCAGTTTTACAATTTTGGTTTTCTTTTGGTCAAATTCTAAAGCCCCTGGGGTTTAGGAAACGGTGCATATGCAGTCATAAAGTGCGTTCTACCTTATGGAGAAACTGAGTTCCAGGTCTCAAACTCTATGGCGCTCCTTTGGGGGTGGGGAGCCCAACTCTTAGAGTTGAGGAAATCCAGATCCCCTTAAACAAGCCAAAACTTGATTTTCTCTAGCCCGACCCCCTCCACTATTCTACAAATGGCGCCTTGACTTATTTAAGGTCGTACTACACTAGCGCAAAAGCCGACTGACTGGTCTTTTTTCCTCAGTTCCCTTGAAGATGGCAGAGTTAGAAAGCTAGGTGTTTGCCAGGCCTTGGAGGATTAAGATTACCAACTAGCAACACCAAATCAGTATTGGCACTTATGCATCGAAAATGTTAATAGGCTGGGCGCGGTAGGTCACACGTGTAATCCCAGCACTTTGGGAGGTCGAGGCGTGTGGATCACCTGAGATCAGAAGTTCAAGACCAGCTCGACCAACACGGTGAAACCCCATCTCTACTAAATACAAAAAATTAGCTGGGCGTGGTGGTGCATGCTTGTAATCCCAGCTACTCAGGGGGCTGAGGCAGGAGAATCACTTGAAGCCAGGAGGCGGAGGTTGCAGTGAGCCCAGATTGTGCCATCGTACTCCAGCCTGGGCAACAAGAGTGAAACTCTATCCCCCCAAAAAAGTTGGTTATGTAAACCTAGAGGGGAAATTTGGAATTAGGACAGGCCAACATGCTAATTTTTTTTTTTTCCCCGCAACATGTTAATTTTAACAGAGGAAACAGGTCAAAGAAATTGCCCACAGTTTCCCAACAAGTTGCTGGTAGTCAAGTCTAAGATTCAGGTTTCTTCCCACCCACCCCCAGTCTATTTGGCCTCTTCCCGCTAGAATATAAGGCAACCTGAAATCAACCTTGAAGGTTTGGTTGTAGGAAGGGGACAAAGTAAGAGGCAGATTGCTAAATCCTTGAATGTGAGGCATCAGGTTCTATTTGGCTCCACAACCCCATTAGGTTGCTAACACTCAATTTTCTTTCCCTCCCTCCCTCCTTTTTCTTCCTGAGTCTTACTCTGTCACCCAGGCTGGACTGCTGTGGCATGATCTTGGCTCACTGTGATCTCGGCTCACTGCAATTTCCACCTCCTGGGTTCAAGTGATTCCCCTGCCTCAGCCTCACAAGTAGCTGGGATTATAGGCACACCACCATGCCCGACTAATTTTTGTATTTTTAGTAAAGACACGGTTTCTCCATGTTGGCCAGGCTGGTCTTGAACTCTTGACTTCAGGCGATTCGCCCACCTCCAGATCCCAAAGTGTTGTTATTATAGGCATGAGCCATTGCACCCAACCTCAATTTTCTTTAAAATTAATAAATCCACCCTAGAGCACTCACTTCCTGACAGTAGAGTCGAGTCCTATTGCTATGTAATTCCTCTTCCTTCCCTCATCAAGCAGAACACATTTCCCTTATTTGATTTTATTAAAAACAACTTTATTTAATATGAATAAAAAGTTACAAATAACAGATTCTTCACAAAGAGCAGCAATAGCCAAAGATCACCCTCATTCCCTTTGTCCCTGAAAACAGGACCTTTTTCCAGACCTATTTTGTCTCACCCTATTCTGAGGCAGGGATTCATTTTTTGCAGGGCAAATTAGATCTGACCTCAGGGGTTGGGGGAGGAAGAGGGTGACCTTGCAGCACAGAGATAACTTTGGCCTTGAACAATGAATGAGGCTCCCAAGGAATGCCAAAGGTAGGGCTGCAAAGGGGCAGATTGAAAGGACTGTCACACAGTGGAGTTCCACTCCTCTCTACTGTAACAATATTCCTTGCCCTACCTAGGAAGACATTGGCTAAAATGCTGACCCCTAGCATGTCCTGCCCACTTTAAACTCTCACACTTCCAAGGAGAAGTGTTTGTGGTCCAATGCCTCGGCTAAAGTGCTTCAATAATGCATCACAGCTGCAGCAGGAGGGAATCCCTCCTCCTCTTCTTGCTTTTCCCAGAGGAAAGGCAGGCGGCCCACATCCTTAAAGTCTCCTGGCTGCTGAAGGAACTCAGTTGGCTGCGAGGTGTCAGTCCAGATATCCACAATCTTGCGCAGGGTGGAGTAGCGTTCTTCTAGCTCTGGCCCCTCAGTCTGCATGAGCAGGTTTGCTAACTCCCTGCTCAGGTCCTGAATCATGTCATTCCGTCCTTGATTCTCAGGCTGGCCTGTGTTCGCAACTGCACCACGATGCTGGACCTCCCCGTTGGGCCCAAGGAGGTGCTGGTACTTCTTTTGCCACCGGCGGCACACCATGGCTTCCCCAACCGGCTGCTGGCTGGTGTGCAGCAGAGCCAAAATGTGTCGGCATGGCAGGTGGTACCACTGCTGAAAGGAACAGCTGCAGCTACAGCCATCTTTGCTAACCTGGTGAGAGTCCTCTAGTAGCTGAACGTCCACGGAGGAGCCAGCCATGTCCACCAGGTGGGTGGAGTTCTGTACCACCTCCCACTCATTGTGGCACAGCTTGTAGGCTAGTTCGGAGCCACTCTGGTGCAAGGTGTCTAGCATGCCAACCTGCGAGGGCGGCATCTGTGACTGCTGCTGCACATGCACCTGCTGTGGGTCTGGCTTGGTCTCTTCTACAGGGAGACTGTTGAGGCTCCCTCCACAGATTCCAAAAGCCTTCTTGGACTTCAGTGGCATGCTTGCTGGCCGAGCTCTCTTTAACTTGGGAGGAGCTGTGGGCAAATTCTTCAAGCCTTTGGTATTAAAGAAGTCTATGTAATCCACAAAGCAGAGGATGCAGTCCAACAGGGACTGCTGTTCCCGAAAGAGGCTTGACACCTTGCTGGTGACAATGTCTAGGCTGTCCATGTAGGTGTTACATGCAAGCAGGCCTTTCCTAACATGCATGTACCACAGCAGTTCACAGGTGAACCAGTGGGCCTGCAGGAAGTTGAAGAGATCCTCATCTAGGAGAGCCTGGGACATCTGGCAGAGATTTTTCAGGCTGGCTTCAGAAGTGACAAATACGGCCTCCCGCAGGGCTTCCTTCATGAGCCTTTTAAAGGATGGATTTGCTGAGCTACGATGCAACTTCTTCTCTAAGAGTCGGGTTGTGTGGTAGATGGAAAGGAGGATGCGGGCCGCAGGAAAGATCTCCTGCAGGATAGCCCGGTGATGGAATGAAGGGTCCACAAAGACCACCTTGACCTTGGGCCAATCGGAATTGAACTCTGTGAAGATGCTCAGCATCTTGGCCACGGAGGTGGCTGTCTCGGCCTTGAGCACAGCAAAGTGCACCACTCGACTTTCTCGTTCCTTGTTCTCCACTAAGAAAGCATAGAGGATGTGGCCCTGGGTGTTCTCCACCCGGTGTAGCAAGAGATTCTCTGGGAAGCGGATGAATAGGTCGCTCATCTTACTGCTCTGGAAGCTGAGCCGGTCCAAGTCTTGGCTGTCACCCACACTGAAGGAAGCCATGGAACCCTCATCTACCTTAAGGAAGTTCTTCATCACTTTTGCTATCTTGGCCAGGTCAGAAGGAGTGATGCCTTCCTGCTCTGGCTTTGAGGACACTTGTACCTTATCCAGGCAAAACGATGGCTCAACCAGGGACTTCTCGGCAGTGTCAATGTCTTTTTTGGTTGTGGGCTGCACAGGCTGGAGTCTCTGCAGGCACATTGTCTTCTGAGATTTGCCAGTGGCGTCTTCTGAAGGACTAGCCACTTTAGAGTCACCATGTATGTGCTGTGTGTTTAGTTCGCTGACAAACAGTCTATCTAGTCTCTCGTTGTACTTGAGGAGCAAGTATGCTGGGCACGTATCTGCCTCCCGTGTTCTCTTCCTGTTTGACTGGGTCCGAATACAGACAAATTTCACCTGCACATACCTAGGGAAGGTAGCGGTGACAATGAGAAAGGTGCTGACCACCCCATACCCCTTATAAAGATAAGACCCTGAAGGGGGCCGGGTGCAGTGGCTAATGCCTATAACCCCAGTACTTTGGGAGGCCGAGGTGGGAGGATCACTTGAGCCCAGGAGCCTGGGACCAGCCTGGGCAAGATGGCGAGACCCTGGCTCTACAAAGAAATTAAAAGTCAGCCACGAGTGGTGGCATGTTCCTGTGGTCCCAGCTATTCAGGAGGCTGAAGAACGAGGACTGCTTGAGCCTGGGAGGTCAAGCCTGCAGTAAGCCATGTTCATGCCACTGCACTCCAGCCCGGGCAACAGAGTGAGACCCTATCTCAAAAAAACAAACAGAAAAAAACCCCGTAGGGCCAAGTGTAGTGGTTACCAGCTGTGGTCCCAGCTACTCGGGAGGCTGAGGCTGGAGGACTGCTTGAGCTCAGGAGTTTGAGGCTGCTGTTAGCTATGCTTGTGCCACTGCACTCCAGCCTAAGCAACAGAGCAAGACCCTATCTCTTTTTTTTTTTTTTTTAAAGTAAAGGATTTATATATTAATAGAATTAAAGAAAGAAGGAAAGCTGGGTACTCTAACATATGCCTGTAATCCCAGCACTTTGGGAGGCCAAGGTGGGAGGACTGCTTGAGATCAGCCTGAGTAAAACAGTGAGAGACTGTCTCTAATTAAAAAAAAAATTAAAATTAAAAAAACCCCCAAATCAGGGCATGTGTTCTCAGGATCTCCTGAGGGTTATATCGGGGGGAAAAACAATAATAGCAACAAATTCCTATGAACCGAGAAGAGATTTACATTAACTCTCCAGTCCCAAAGTAGTCAGCTCTTTCTTGAAGAGCCTCTCCAACTACAGCTCCCTTCATATGCCTCTACAGCACTTCTAAGCCCCAACTCCATTCTCTCTGTTGCCATTTGCAGCTGCCCACAATACACGCTGAGGCAGGACACGAGGGCAAATAGACAAGAGGCAGCAGCAGAATGCTCAGCTGGTTACTCCCTGTTTAAAATGTCCCCATCATTTGTGTCTTTTGGGAACTACTACTGTCTCTTCCTTCTCGAGATAGCAAAGATAAAAGTGAGGTTCCAAGGACATTGGACTAGATCAGTGATTCTCAACTGAACTTTTCAGGGCCTTCTGAGGTTAGAGTATGTTTGGTCCTCCTCTTGAAGAGACAAGATTAATGCTCATCTTTCTTTCTTTTTTTTCTTTGAGACAAAGTCTCGCTTTGTCAACCAGGCTGGAGTGCAGTGATGTGATCTCAGCTCACTGAAACCTCTGCCTCCAGGGTTCAAATGATTCTCCCGCCTCAGCCTCCTGAGTAGCTGGGACTACAGGCTTGCAGCACTGCACCTGGCTAATTGTTGTATTTTCAGTAGAGACAGGGTTTCTCCATGTTGGCCAGGCTGGTCTTGAATCCCTGACCTCAAGTGATCTGACCACCTCAGCCTCCTAAAGTGCTGGGATTACAGGTTTGAGGCACCGTGCTCGGCCTCTTT